CTTGATCGTAGTGGACTGGATCATGCAATAAACAGTGAGGAACGAGAGGAGGCGGAAACGCTGGACCGTAGAAAAGAACCTAGAAGATTTGGACTTCGCCGATGACTTATGTCTAATGTCTCGTCACACAAACTCGAAGATCTACATGCAAAAACCAACAAGTTGACAGAAGAGACAGGGCAGCAAAGACGGGACTTCCTTCAGGTGGACGTAGAGAAGACAGAGGTGATGAAGATACACAACCAACAACAACAACAAGCACCAGTCACCATTAACGGAAGAAACCTAAAGGAAGTAGTCTCACCTACCTAGGCAAGGCAGCATCGTTTCAACTACAGGTAGTGCAGATGAAGATGTCAAAGCTAGGATCGGAAAGACGGCAAGACAGGCCTTCATCAACCTGAAACCAGTGTGATCTACCCCACTCAGCATAAAAAACAAGATCCGGATTTCCAACACTAATGCCAAGTCAGTGCTTCTATATGGTTCAAAAACTTGGCGCGTCACGATAAGCATTTCCAACAAACTACAAACATTCATCAACAACTGCCCCCTACGCTCACTCGGTACTGAAGATGAGATGGCCAGAAACAATCAGCAACAAGAAACTCTGGCTGGCTGGCAACGAACCAACCAACAGCCCATCGCCCAAAAAATATCCAGAACAAAATGGAGATGGATTGGGCATACACTGAGAAGACCGTTAGGAGACATTACACGCCAGGCCAGGTGCTCAAGTGGAATCCAAAGGGGAAACAACGAGTTGGGCGTCCGAGGCGAGGGTAACATGAAGGAGATCGTATGAGGAAGAAATGAAAGCTTGTGGGCAGTCGTGGAGCCAGGTTCAAAAGACTGCAGAGAACAGAGTGCAGTGGAGACGTGCTACTAAAGCCGTATGTTCCACTAGGAACCCAAGTAACAAATATTAATAATAATGGGTCTTCGTTTTCAGCAGACATGCTTTCAAGAGATGCATGAAACTAACCGCAACCTAATACTTACTAAAAGGGTTATGTGGAGGGCACAATAAGCATTCTCTGGGTTTTGTAGTTGCGTCGTACTAATGCATTTCGGCTACCAGGTACCAATTCCTACAATGGTGATAGAAAAGAGGTTATAATTCCCTAAGCACTGTCTATAACACGAGTGTACCTCCTTCGTTGATCGTCGGTAACTCCATTCTTCTTCTTTTTTCTACATTTATTTTAATCACCATATGCCATAATTAACCTTATAACCCCAGTTTCCTCAGTCTTTTTGTCCATTGCTGATAAATTGAGATCATGAAGTTCCAACCCTTGATTTCTATACTCACACTGCAAGCAGCTTTTAATGTTCGAAACCCATGTCAAATAAGATGGGAAGTAAAACCAATGAAAGCTAAAAACCTAAAAGATGAAACTGTGATATGGTTGAACGGTATAGATGCATTCACTCTTGTTCTTCCTCAGAATACATGAACATCTTGTTAATATTTATTTCCTTGCCTTTTCTGTATATCCTGCTCCTTCGTTTTATTGTCTTTTCGCTGCTGTTGGTAATAAAGCAAGTCGTGGATAGTGTCACTGATTGTCGAACTGGTCAGTATAGTCTACGATGAGGCGTACTTGGTGTCAAGGTTGTAGCATAGGATATGCTTTCATTGCTGGTCACCTTGCAGTAAAGATAAGGAAGACTTTGTCTGAACTAGAAATAGCATGTAACGGTTAAGGAGCCGAAAGCACTAACCACAGAACGTTTTGAAAATTTTCTTTATAACATACAGAACTTTCTTACTGCTTGGTTGTATTCTACAATTCTCAATCAATCAATCAATATTAACATAGAACCAGGCATTACTGCGTAACGGTACGAGTTGCCACACCTCATATCAGTACATCAAATAAAAAGGCAGTGAGGTGCGAGATGAAGATAAGAGAATGCAGTCAAAAGAAATATAAAGTGCGAAAAGAGAGAAACGAAGAATGAGAAAGTGGTGAGATTCGGCATAGCGTCGTTAAGATGAGGATAATGTATGTATACATCTGAGCCATTGACATCGGTTCTGAGCCATATCACCTAGAGTCTCCAACTACTGGTTCTTCTTGTCCTACGGATGCCAACCACCTGGTAGGCATCGCCCCACATGGCTCAAACCATCAGTCAGAGACTTCATACATTGGTGCCATGTTTCAGTCTGGCCACCTCGGGCCTTTCTACAATTCTAGCTGTTGTCAGAGAAAACTGTGTAGGTTGATTGCGTTCGCCAATAGAGAGGATGATTAGTTCAGTCATAACAATGGAAAGTAGATATGTCTGAATGCCCTGTTAGTTAAACTTGGAGACTATATACATTTACTTCATACCTTTTTTCAGTTATTGTAGCTGTTTCTTAGTTCTGTACGGAAAGCAATATTATGCTGGTCTGCTAGGCACGGTCATACATGTAAACTTCAGTCTCGTAGGCTTCGCGTACATTTCTTGATATTTTGACTAAAAAGGTTGCTTAAACAATAAAGACAGGTACTAAGATACATTTCAAGAGCTGTGAGTGAAAAAGAAACCCAAATGAGGATGACAGACAGGAATAGAGAAAAAGACACGTGCATATGAGTTTTCGATACCAATGAATGCTTAGTCAGGTATCCTTTCGTGTTTTTACATGCATGTTTACTAGTAGTTACACCGTATTCGTTGCGAATGAAGTTTTGCTTGATACAAAATTCGGTGCTTTCGCAAGAGTTTCATATCAAATCGTTGCTTAATGGAATCTGGATTTTAACTCAGTTTCGCGGATGTTATTAGGGTGGGTAAATTACTGTCAGTTCTGGAAAAAATATGGAACTGAACTCGGATGAGTAGGCCAGTTGCTTTTACGCAGAATATCCCGATAAATTGCAAATATTTTTTAAAAAGTAGCACAAGAATTCCTATCTTTAAACAAAAGGTTTTCCTCTAGCTTAAATATGTTTACAAAAACATGCTCTGTATATCTTGAGATGATTTTAACTGTGGTTACTTCACTGTCGTAAACGGTAAGTAAAGCGGCATCGAATGTGCGCAATGTAATCGATTGGTAAGCTTGTAAAAGGCCGTAGGAGACCCTGAGATATGATGCTTATGGCGACATCTCACAATCGTGCAATACACTTGAGGTCACGCACTTCTGCGACTATCATGGATTACTTCTGAGGAAAATCTTTAAAATGCCTACTCCTGAGAGCTCCATGGTACATAGAAGTTACTGGGAAAATGCTGCTTAATTCCCTTATTTCCTCAAAGATTTTTTCATATTCTACCCCCGAATTCCCTTATTTTTGCTAACACTTTTAAAACGTCGCTGGTTATGATTACTAGTATGCAACTCGTATGAGCATACTGGTCGATAGACTTCAGGTGCACATCGATGTTCTTGTGTCGACTTGCAGAAAGCTACACACTTTCCACAGTATTCAAGGACTTCCTTTGGAGTTTTTGCAGAGCTCTAAGCACACTCTTTCAATTGGTCCGCCCTAATTCTAGCCAGCTTTCCCTGTGAAGCGAAATCTGTACATCATGACTTCAACAATTGTCGGACTTCGAAAAATTTAAGTTAAAGCTTTGATAACAACCCTAACTTCAATGATATTGGTCGAAACATGTTTTATAATGTATGGTTTAATACATGAAATTCTGGTTTAGAACTTTTACTCTTTAAATACTCAAGTTATTTCGTCTGGTTTTGAAGCTATTCAAGCACTACAGACCTTACCTACTATATGTGCGTTTACATCCTTAGTTTAACTTGTCGTATTATATTCTGTGTAACCCTGTATTACATATGGCATTTGGATACTAACTGGTTTTGAGGTTTCATGATTACTACCAGAAAACCAAACTTCAAACTTCGTGTTGTAGAATTAGCGAACTGCGGTTCCTTGGGTTCTACATCTGTCTTATTGGAATACGTTCTGAGTTTGGAATGGTCACAATTATCTTCCCGGTTCTGAAAAACCTGAAAGGATAGAGATACGATTAATTAATTAATCTGGTCTCAAGTTAGTGTTACTGCATCTGATCTGGGGAAAGCTTCTCGAGGTGTGCGTCTAGCCTCCTTTCAAAGGTATCAGGGGATGGGGCTGTAACAACTGCTGAGGGAAGGGAATTCTACAGTTTACAGACTCTAACTGCAAATGAGTTAGCACGGATCTTTGTACGTGCTCTCATGCTCTATTCTTAACGGGTGACCCCTCAAGTCGCGTTTCCGACTAAAGCTTAGAAGGGATCTGTTGGGATGGAGGGGATTATGGGCGATGTGGTACATCATGATCATATCCCCTCTGATCCTCCGGTGTTGTACTGGGTCCAGCTGAAGAGCAACTAAGCGGTCTGGGTACGGTTTGTGCCGTAACCCAATCACTTTCTTTGTGGCTCTTCTCTGTACTCGTCCTAGGATGGCTATGTCCTTTTTCAAGTATGGGGGCATTACAAGCGAACTTTTTTCTAAATGAGGACGAATGTACAGAGCATACACTGTGGTGAAAAGAGAAGGAGTTAGACACCCTAAGGTTCGCGAGAGAAACCCCAAGATTCCATAAGCCCTATTGGCTGCAAGGCGACAGTGAACAGAGGCTCCTAGTGTATCATTTAGTGTAACTCCCAGATCTTGTTCCATGTTAGAGTGACAGATATTTGTTTCACCTAGAGAGTAAGAACTGGGACTGCCTTTATGTTTGTCAACTATCATAATTCGACACTTCTTCGAGTTGAGAGGAAGCAGGTTTTCTGTAGTCCAATTAAGGATTTTCGTAAGGTCCTCTTGGAAGATCGAAATATCCGCTGGTTCCTGTATTTCCCTCCAGATCTTCAGATCATCGGCATATAATAGGTCATAAACGTCATAAAGGTCATTGCTAAAAGCAAGAAACAGTAGTGGGACCAGTATGGAACCTTGAGGCACACCACTCAGCATCGCGAACCAATCAGATAGAGAGGAGCCGACTCTAACTGACTGCACCCTGGTGTACAGATAATCTCTAAGCCAGATTAATAATTTTCCGTGTACACCCATGAGCTGGAGTTTCTTCTTTCTTATCATGATTTACCCTGTCAAAGGCCTTAGAAAAGTCAAGTAAACCAATGTGTATAGGCTTTTTCTTCTCGACAGAGAGTGTCCAGCTATTCCAAGCTATCAACAAGTTGGTGTTACATGACCTTCCTGGTAGAAAGCCATGCTGACAGTCGTTTAGGATTGATTTCTGAAGTAAGTGATCACGTAGTGAGTCATTTATGACTCTCTCCATGACCTTCGCAACTGAAGAGATCAGGGAGATTGGTCTGTAGTTGGAGGCGAGTAGTTTGTTTCCACCTTTATAAATTGGGACGACAGCCACCCGTTCAGAGGGTAACCTGCCTTCCAGAAACGAGCATTTGAAGAGGTTTGCTAGTGGGGCACACAGAACTTCAGCACACTCCTTGAGTGCTCTTGGGTGAATACCATCGATTCCTGGAGACTTATTCGGGTTCAGTTTCTTTAATATTTCCATAATTACAGAGGGTTTAAACTCTATATGATTTAGTCCCTCTGTGATACGGGTGTCCGACAGAGGCGGGGTTTTGTCTCCCAAATGACAGTTGTTTTGGAACTCATGAGCTAGTAGGTTTGCAACTTCGGAGTTGGAATAGAGAATCTCCAAACTAATGGGGTCCTGTAAACTTAGTGAACTGTTACTCTTCTGTTTCATCAACGAGTACAGTATCCCATGATTCCCCTCCAGGGTTCTACAAAGTTGTGTCTGGTGGTTTATTCTGTCATTTCTGATCCTTACTGAACATTTGTTACGGATGTCTTTATAATTTAGCCAGTCAAAAGGGCTATTAGTGCACCTCCATAGATTCCAAGACGACCGTTTACGCCGTATTAGTTTGCGCGTGCTAGACTTAAGCCAGGAGTAGAACTTGTTAGTTCTTCTTGGGATCAGAGGAGTGTTGTCTTCTATCGTCTGTAGGATTATATTCTTCAACAGACCCCATCTAGCATCAAGATCCAGTAGGTCATCGCAATTTAAGCAAGCGGAACCTTCTAGATCTTGCCGAACCTTCTCGAAATCAGTCCTCTTGTAATTCCTAACTAGAGGCTGATCGGGAACGGGTGGCTTAGATACAGAAATATTGAAGGAGATAACTGCATGGTCACTTAGGCCAAGAGGGCTGAAAACATTCAAGTTGCTTACCCCAATGAACTGATTTGTGAAAATATAATCTAGTCGGGATGCCTTACCGTCAGGCCCCCAGCGAGTACACTGGGAAACATGTTCTGTCAAGGAGTTTTCCAGTAACAATTCCCGAAAGTCTTTTAGAGCAGTAGATGGACTTTCTGTGGTAAAGAGTTGAGGAAAGTTAAAATCTCCATAATGAGGACCTGTGGGAAGTTCAGTTCCAGGGCTCCTCTAATGGACTGTATTAACATTTTATTTAGCGTGGCATCAGCTGCAGGAGGGCGGTATAAAACTCCAACTAAACACGGACCTCCGCAGCACTTAATGCTACACCAGAGGACATCTTTAATGCCAATTCTATGAGATTGAATCTCATGGACTTTTAAGGAAGGGCAGGTGTAAAGAGCAACGCCACCTCCTGGACCCTCCGGTCTATCCTTTCGGATTAGGCTGAGCTGTCCTAAACGAACTTCCTCGTCTTTTATGTTTTCTGATAGCCATGTTTCACAGAAAGCCATTATGCTAGGACTTTCCTCATCCACTAATAACCTTAACTCAGGTACCTTGGAGCGTAGGCCTCGTACATTGCTGAAGGTACAGCGAATAAGAGTATGAGGGCCGGAGGTCCCAGCAACCGGTTGAGTTAAGCATGAGTTGCCAGCCTTTAAATGGCCGGCTTTGACAAGTTTTTTGATAGGCGGTGGAACCAAGGGCTACTGTATCCACTGATCTCTTTGACTGAGAACTGGTGCCGGGTTCTTCGATCTGGGACAAGGTCGATAAATACTCTTGCTCATCGTCCAGCCGTTCTACCGTTAGGTGTGCGTTGGCCAACGGTAAGCGCTTGAATCGCTCTCAGTCTGCCTTTGTTCCCTGGGTCTGCACTCGCTTATCTTTATTTCTCTAGGGAATGTATCAGATACATTATACCAGGATTCCAAGGTAGTTCTAACCATGTCCGGAGAGTCAAGGGTTACTTGGAGTAGCCTGGGAGTACGTATAGTCGAGAGGTGAGCCGGTCTTGGAAGACGATTAATTCTTTCGCCCTCACATCGATTTGGAGTTTGCTGACAATATATCTCCACTGATTTATGTCGTGGATAAGTTCGGCAGTATCGGTACCCGAACATTCGGGAATCCCGTGTATAATTACCGAGCAGCATAACTCTTGAGAGTGAATCTTCTTGCTGTTGCGAAGAAGTTCTCTCACTGACCAGGGTCTATCAGGCCTAATCCTGACGTCAGACAGTTTACGTTTCACCAACTGATGACCTTTCAGAAGGATGTGTTCGGACTGACGTGTACTATCAAGGGATACTCTTAAAGGTCTAGGAGAGCCTTTGGGGGAGAACTTACTACGCGCTAGGCGTTGAAGAGATGGACTGCAGGGAGAGGTTCCTAGGAGTTTGCAAACACTCTTCCATTGGTCAAGGTCATGTTCTTCACGATCAGTCAATAGGGAGGAGCCACTTTCCTGAACGTTGAAGAGTATGAGTGATCTAAGATTGAGGTTATGGTCTGTCTTTTGGAGCTTATTCCAACCTGTGAATACAGACTCAGATTTCTGATGAGCCTTTTGCGAGTGACTCGGAAGACCTGAGGTGCCAGCTGTGGGAGTTTCCTTGATGATTGATAGAGGCTGGTGGTGAAATGCATGCGGCTTCCGCCCTGAGTTACAGGTGGTGGGAGCAAGATCTGCTTTTTTCGGAACGTTTTTCGCCTGAGTAGGAGGGGCAATGTTCAGCTTATGGTTCGGCTTCTCATTAGGCTGAATAGTCGTTACTCTGTCAGACTTACGATCGTTACTTAATGTTCCGTTTCTAACTGAACTGACCTGCCTACATTTCTTCAGACCTTTCTTTCGGCGCTTATCAGGTGTGAGATTCCCATTCTTCACTGAGGGGATCAGTTCCAAAGGCATGCTAACGGGGAGACAGTCCGTGACAGTGATGAATTCGCTACTTCCCTTACTGCTAACTTGAGGGATCTTTTTATGGCCATAAGACTTCTTTAGATTGAGGCTGGTTTGTGTAGAGATCTCAGCCGTAAGGTGATCGGAGTTCTGTCTCACTAGCTCTAGGCCTATTTGGTACTTACTTTTGGACCTACAACATGGATAAAAATACCAATCGCCATCAAAAGGGCTATAAGCAGTGCTTCATAATAACCGATCGTATCTACAAACACGTTCGTCACTACAGTGGTTATACCAGTAATACTCCAAACTTATAAAACGACTACTTTTTAGCATTTACTAGGAACACTAATCCAAGCTTGCGCATATCCAAAAGACTACAATTTCTGTGATTACGACTAATTCTAACGGTTTCTCAGTCACACTGATGACTATTAAAACGAAGAAAATGCTGATAATAGTGGCATTTGGTTCACACAACTGGTTACATGAATTACAGTTATGCGGAAATATATAAATTTGCCAGTCCTGAACAACCACTAAACGGCCTGGAACACACCTACAAGGAAACGAGCGTTTGCTTGTAATTTTTAGTACAAAAATGAAATGAAATTACAGTGGACGTTTTTCTAATTAATGTTTAGGGACTTGGCCATGATTTATATCGCTATTTTCCCACTGAACGTGAGATTAAGTAGTATTAAGATATTCAATCATTCGGCTACATGAAAATGAAGTATGATATGGAGGCAGATGAACCTACAAATAGTCGCCTACCATCGCTTTGCAGAAGCGTTTGAGAATTGAAGCTACAGAATGTACAGAAGACGGCTTCATGACATTGGATATGAGTTCCACTTCAGAGTACAAAACTGTAAAGGTAAGTCATAAGCAGCGAACAAACAGTGAAAAGATGCCCTTTGCAACGCCAGCACTACTTCATGATTTATTGGGTACTCCAAAGAGACTTATGATTGGGTAAGGCGTAGAGAGTTGAGACAAGTTTTAGGGTGAATTATCTGATCGCAGTGTATCCTAGTTTAAAGCTCTTGTCCATAATTTCATACTAATGGGACATACAGTCTTATGGAAAAACCCTTCGGGATAGGTACACCTAAGTGGGAAATGATTTCCTCCAAACCGATCTAGATGTCTTCGCTCAGAATCTTCCCAAGCCTACTCATAACCAGCGATATCCCTGCAATAGGTCCAAACCTTCCAGAAACGAGTGCAATTACATCTAACTAGATTGGTAATTTCAGAGTTTATAGGTGGTAGCTCAGGGACATGGACATTCTGTAGTTACACCAAAGTCACGACAAAGTCATCAATCTTGAGAACTGCATAGACACATATTCTCATCATATTCTGACCAAGTTACCATTAAATTATTCACCTTGACGCCACTTACAAAACCACCTCACAAGCGGTACTCATTTTTTCATGCTTCTGTTAAACAACAACAGCCTTAACCCACATTCAGACTTCTGTCTTAGAATAAGAAAGTCGAAATAGTGTTTCATCCCTTCTTTTAACGAATTTCAACATTACTGGGCTCGGCTCAAATGAATCGAGCAACATACAACATCAATTGTGCGAGAAGAGGAAATTTGTGGTTTTTGAGCTCCCACTTCTAGGTCCTGAGGCTCGGTTCTTTTTGTTCGGTTGTACTCCTTCGATGGTCATAGAAGTCTTCGCGTTTTTCTTGCTTACAGCTTTGGAGGTAGTGATTGTCTGTTTGTAGGTATTTTATTTGTAAATTGTAGCTCGTTTTATTTTGGGGGAGGGGGAAGGGCAACGGAGCTGCTGGTAAAATTACCTTTTGTAATTCCCGTTTTTGTGAGTTTCTGCAAGTGATTGTTAAGCGTTGCTTGAAAAGTGCTAGAAGTAGGGTGAGTGGAGAATGAGAAAAGGAGGAGTAAGTATTTATGGAAAGATAAGCGCTATTGGTAATAAGGGATGCGTCTTATGGCAGATACTAGGGTTGGGAAAGCATGTCATCAGTCGCTACCGGCGAATACTCCTGTTAAGCCATTTGAGCTCATGTACTCATTCAGTAGTCGTTTGAACGAGTCATCTGCTGTAGCTGTGGCTACCTCCTTCGGCATAGGGCAGATACTCTGTGGGAGAAGTTGGATCTCACTCTCGTCTTCGCCCTACGGTGGGGTCTGCGAGTGAGGTTCCCACGGAACCGTTTTTTTCGGACCAATAACCCTGGCCTATTTTGGTGCTTCACTTGGTGAATGATCTTGTGGGCTGTTATCAGGTCACCTGGTTTCCTTTGAAAGCTTAATGGGAACAAGTTGAGTTGTCTAAGGCGTTGTGCACATGTTTTACCTCTTAATCCGATAGTCAGCCTTATCGCCTTTCTCTGTACCTTCCCAAGAGTATTTGGGTCTCTCTTTAGCAGTGGGGGTCTATCGTGTTGAACACCTCTGGGTGTGGTCTAGCATAGGCTTTAACTACCATGAGGAATAATTTTGAGGTTGATGACCAAGCAGCCCCCTTAGAAAGTGCACGATGGCGTTCGCCTCTGCTGCAATTCACCTGCAGTTTTCACCAGTATCCAGTGTGTCAGAAAAGTTTAGTCTTAGGTCCTTCTCTATGGATACCTCGGTGATCCCACACTTATAATAGTGCACCTGATTTTTATCGCCTGGTGAGCGAAGGTACATCACCTTGCATTTCCCAAGGTTAAGACTTGCAGCAGGTCTTTCTGGAGTATCCTAGGATCCTCTTCTCTACCCATTGCCCTCCATATTTTGATGTCGTCAGAAATGGGGGATGGACAAGGAGATTTAAACGGGAAAATCATTTATGTGTGATAACAATAGGAGTGGCCCAAGGACCACTTCTGGAAGGATTCCTGTTCTTTCTTTCCGTTAAGCCGATCAAATTCTGTTTACTTTAGTAAAGAAAACTCTGTCCCCTGGATATGCTGTAGCCCATGCCATGAGTGGTTCGGTGATAACAACTTCTGCAAGTTTAGGGAGCGTGATGCAGTGTGGGACGTTATAGAAAGCCTCTGCCGAGCCCAGGAAGATAACGTGAAGTGATTGCTTGTTATCGCATCTAGTGGCCCAGTCATTCCAAGTGGTCATCAGGTTTGTGGCACATGACCGCCCGATTCTCAAGCCACGTTGGATAGGACGGCCGATGTTGTTTCCGTTCAGGCAGCCCCATACAGCATCTGCAACCAGGCTTTCTAGCACCTTGGAAAGTATGGGAAGTAATGCCATTGTTCCGTAGTTGCACGGGTTCTTTCGGTCTCCTCACCTGGGCACTGATGAGGAGATGGTGCGTTTCCATCCTTTGAGGAGCTGACTTGCTTCTAAGGAGTGCGTGGACAGGTTGCCCATACGTATTCCTAGTACTTCGGCACAGTTGCGTAGGACCACCGGCCTTATGTGGTCAAAACCAAGAGATTTATCTATTCTGGGTGCCGAAAGTTTCGAAAATACTCCGTTTGACGAAATCTTTACGTTCATCAGCTTTCAGCGACAGTCCTGGAACTTCGTTACACTAATAGACGTTGATAGTGGTTGCATTACTGGGTTGAGCTGCTCATCAACTCACCCGTTCAACAGTCCTGCCATCTAGCTGTTGCTCAAAGGTTCTCCGGCCGGCCCCGTGATCAGGTTTAAACCCTTGTTCTTCGGTTGGCGTCGTGACATAAAGTGATATAGACATTTCGGGTTGTAACTTAACTGTTTGACCAAGTTACTCTGATATGCATATCGTCATTGGGAGCTCTTATATTACATAAGTCGTATCATGTCCTGCATTTAAAAAGGTCTGATTCATTGTGTGATGTTCACCAGATACCATGCCCTCTTCTTGCTCTGTATTTGCATTTGGCTTGCCCGAGTTACCCAGGACCATTTTAGAAATGGCCGTCTGGTTAATTTCGGAACACTCTTTTCTGTATCGCTTCATCGGGAGGTCATCCGCCAAAAGAAGGAACGGGAGTGGACTCAGAATCGCTCCTTGTGGTGCACCAGATGATAATGTCTTCCAGAGTGAGCCAACCTTGCTGACTTTTGTGCGGAATTCTCTGTTATCCAAGTAGTTCCACGGCCAGGAGCGCACTTGACCGTTAATGCCCAACCTTGATATTTTGCGAGTGAGAATGGTGTGCGGGGCTGTGTCAAACACCTTAGCAATGTCTAGGAAAGTCGCATGAATAGGGGATTGGAGGTCCTAGCATGCCGCCCGGTTGCCACCGGCTGCCACTGGCTGCCAAGGGATTTGAGGCACGGGATCTACACTCTCAGAGATCGTGAGCACCACTCAGTGCTGCCCCATTGTCCAAGTACTCGCTGAGACATTCGTCAACCGGGCTTCCCATTACTTTTGACATCTCTGGTAGAAGTGCTATGCGTCGGCGGTGCCCAGTCCACAAAGAAGAGAGGTGAGAGTATTGTCGAGAGGGCACAAGGAGGGGTGACATGGTTAGTGGGCAAACCAACAGGTGAAACGTATTATCAGTACCTTGGATAAACAAACCTACTCACTCTGAGCCATCGAAGGAAAAGACGCGACCTAACAACAGCTCTCACTAGGTGCATCGCCACAACGGGACAACATTATCGGTCCGAAACCAACAGTCCTGCAAGAACTCCACTTGCGTTTCCCACCACATGGCAGGAGCATGAGAGAGATCCAACCTCCTGCAAAACAGAGTATGTCCCTTGTAAAGCGTCCTGAGAAAGTTGGCCATAGCTACACCAGCAGACCGCTGCAAATGACTCCTGGATAAGTGCTTGTGCCCTACCAGGGACATTCGCCGGTAACAACTGAAGATATGATCATCCATCTCAGCATTCCCCAACCTATTCGCTCTCCTTTTCATCGAAGGCTATATCATCCTAGCATACAGCTCAAACAGTCTGCCTGTAAAATCTTCCGCAGGGGGACAGCAGAGAAGGAAAAGGAAGTCCCTGACCACAGCCCCTGGCCAAAGTGATGGTTGTCACGCGCGCTGTCTCAGTGTAGCCAAAAGAGAAGTGGCTCTTGAGTGTAACGTCTACAGCAAGTTGGTTTACTGTCAGCGTAATAAGGAGGTACTAGATGAACATTACGCCTTCACGGTGCGTGACGCGTGCACGTAGTTCTGACATGTAACTTATGCTGTATGAAATATATCATAATTATCATATCTGGTCACAATGTCGTTTAAGGCCACTGCTCTTTACAGGTTCGCTCAGGGGGGTCGTAAAGGACACTTCAGTGGTTACACAAATCCAGGCACCCGCACAAACCGCCACCACAGTGTCAGCATCGTTTCTCGAACAGTCGCGCGTATGAACAGTCCAAAAATAGCCACAGGCCGACCAGCAGTGAGATCAAACACATTAACCCGAAACTCTGAAGTCGTTCTGACAGATACTTTCTCTGTGTGTCGGGAAAAATGGGTTACAGTGGAAAAAAGGCACACTCTTCCCATGAAACCCTACCCACAGTACACGATAATGTGGATGTCAGTGACAGATCAAATTCCATTACCTTATTTAATAATAATAATAATTTATTCTTGCAAATACGAGCGCACACTAGTCTACAGGCGTGATTATATACTCAAACCAGTTTCACAATTATGGCCGGCACAGTGTCATTGCCTAGGGATAATCGGAGAGTTTATATAAATAGAATGAATGTACAGAACGGAAAAGGATGGCGCATATCCAAGGTTTCTACACATGACAGTTTTTCGTGAGGATGAATCGCTTTTGCATTTCATGCAACATAACAGTTACAGTTTGACCGCCTAGAAAGTTCGTTGTATACGCAATCACTGACAAGCATAACGTTACGGTGTTAGGAAGTAGTTAAGTGTTTTAGGATGAAACATTTTTTTATGTATCTGACCTAGTGCAAGGTGGAGATAAATATAGTTTCTTAGCAGTCGTTCAAGCAGGTAAGATATCAGTTTCCCCGTGCTTGATTCCAAAGCAAGCATCTGCAGAAGAGAAGTGAAAGGAGAAGGAGAAAGACGAGAGAACACAACAGGAGGTGGCCGAAAAAATTTGGTAAGAGTATCTAATGAAGACTGCAAAAATTGCAGCCAACGGATTATCCCACAAAAAGCAATAGTTATGATATTTTTGTAGGTCACGCCATGTTATTATTCAGATGGCAGTAATAATGTTTTGTAATAGGTTTGCACATTAGCACTCAGTCTTAGTGAGGTTTACCACATACGCGCTAGTGTAAAACGTGCGTACGGTGTGTAGAAACAACTGTTCACGGACATCTTAAAATTATAGCTCACATTGAATAAGCCTTAGATTGTATCGTAATTGGGCGTGAATGGAATAGATTTAAGAGTCGGATGAGGAAGCAGTTGGCGTTAGGATGGTAGCGTGAAAATTATTGAGGAAGTTTACGAAATGAAGTCAACTGTAAGGTGGAGGTGGGAAAGTATTCACTGGTGTTTGTAGATACAAACTCCATCAGTGATTTATGGGTAGA